AATCGTGATGAGACTTGTAGACATATACATAAGTAGTTTGGATGAGAATCGACGATGCATAGTCTCTCTTTCTCTCTCTCTCTCTCTCTCTCTGTCTCTGTTCCCGGAATCGTGACCCGGAAATACGGTAGAGGCGGAAACGCGATTCCGGCGGGCGAACGCCGCGCCGCGAATTATTATACGATTTCTGGGCTAACGATTTGAAACAGCGAATAATTTCCGAGCGGTGGCGGCGGCGACGGTGGCGGCACCAGTTGGAATTTTGCGCGAAACAGATTTGCAATTATCCCGGGGACATCGAAACCTGTGTCGAGGGGGAGGGGACACGATCCAGTTACTATCGATACGATCGCTATCGAGATCTGTGTTTTAAACGTGGGTTGCGGCTCGCGTATCGAGATTTAAAAGACGATTGTTTTTTTTAAAAAGGAATTTAAAGAGGGATAAAATGTTTTTTTTTTTTTTTTTTTTGGTTTCTGTTTTTAGTTTTTTAATTTATGCCACGTTTCGAATTGTTGTGGAAAGAGAAATGTATATATTAATTTTCGATTTGTGTTATCGAGATTTATTTGAATAATTTTACGAGAAATATTATTTTTGTTGTTTATTTTTGTTGCTTAATGAAGTGTATCCAATTGTTATGTAGTTATATTCGTGTTGTATTATTGTGTGAAATACTTTCTATAGATTTTGTGAAATTTTGCCAAGATTTTTTTTAATTTTTTTGCTTCTTTTTTCCTTTTATTTTATTTTTAATTCTTTATTATATATTATCAATTAGTTTATATTATAGTAAAATTGGCATTTCAAAAATATGTTTACAAAATAATGATCTATTGTCAGATTATTATATATTAAAATATTTCCTAAAAGAAAAACAAATTATAAATAAAATATTATAAAACGAATGAAAGTAATAATTTTTAAATTTATTCTTCAATATTTTTTCTTTTTTTTTTTTTATTAAATTTAAATTTTAATAATTTAAATTTTTGAAAGAAGGTAACCATTTGTTTACCCTTTTACTTTACTTTACAAACGAAAGAATGCGGAATATCAGTGAAATCAATCCGGAATGCAATCCGATCTTTTACAGGTTTGTTTAAAACGAATTATGTAGAAGTGAAAAATAAAAAAAAACTGTTTGATCTTTTTTTTTTTTTTTTTTTTTTCATCAGAGATGCTTCTTCAGCACGAAGAGGAATTGCTTTTGCACGGGAAACTATTTCTGCACTCGCTGGCTTCTCTCAATTGTTAACTTTCTCGAGCTATTGTTGTATCCTCACTGCTTATTCCAGATTCTTTCATCCAGATCTTTCTCTTCGAGCAGAAACGAAAATGACCGGGATAGAAAATTTTAAACAAAATCGATGATCATTTTTCTTGTCGAAAGTCAATTTTTATAGGAAAAATAGATTTTTATTATCTTTATTATTGCAGAATTATAAATGGTAAACGATAATATGGTTGCTGTGTCTAGAAACAATCAAATTGGATATTATAATCAATTTTCTCACCGTTAAAAGTGAGATTAAATTTCATCGTTTATTAAACGTTTCGTTGATTTTGATATTAACAATTTGATATATTTTAACTTTTTAAAAATTCAATCATTCTCATTATTTACATCTTTATATTAAAAAATAGTCAATTGATTATGAAATTAATAAGAAAAATCATCGAATATATTTTTAATTATAATTACAATAATAAAATATCCCTATCAACTAAAGTTTAAAAAAAAAAAAAGTTCTATTGTTAAGAATTAAAACTAGCACAATAAAATAATTAAGTCACTGATTTCGATCCTTTTCACAACGTACGAGTCTGAGGAAATAAAGGCAAAAAGAAAATTGGCAAAAATTCACGTAACGTTAATTAAACAACCTCTGTTTTAGGTACATGAAATAAGAGATACCCACTAGCTGTCCAAATTCCTTATTTCTTTTACCATGAAAAGCTCGCCAAGGTCTCTGACGTTAATTAATCCCGCGCCAAGCCAAGCCAAGCCAAGGCTACCTGGCCACCAGCTTCGAGGGCCGTTTCACATCGTGGATCCTACTTTTCAGACGACGACGAATCGTCTCCGGGTGGGTAGCATTAAAATGTAAAACTGTGCGGAATTACAAGAGATTTCCGCGGGAAAACAGGCTGCGCAGGAGAACTCGAGGACCGATGTGAACAGGCCTGCGATTCGTTTTAATAACGGCGTAGCGAACGCCCCGTCCAAGCGTGGACTTTTTAATTAAGAATGGCGGCCGAAAGTGTCGAAGACTTTCCGCCTGGTGGCACTGTAAAATACGTATGTACGTGTAGGGAAAATTTTTCTTCGCGAGAAGATTAAAAAGACATTGAGCGAAATTAATGTTTCCGTGTTTGTAAATATAAATGTCTTGGACAGAATACTATCCAGAGTGTGTAATATTTAAATAGAGAATATTATTATGGAATAAATTGTCTGATGAAGTAAGAGTGGAGTATTTAAATATTGAACTCTTAAAGAAGGTTATATTGGAAGGTATGTACATGAAACAAAAACAAATATGTAACAAATGTTCAATATTATTACTATTTTTTTTAAATATATTATTTATGTAAGTACTAATGTGTTTAATATTATTTTGCAGCAATGAAATAATTCTATAATTGAAAAATACATGTAGGATATCTTTGGAGGACAAAATAAACGCAAAAATTAATATACAAAAACGTTGAGGTAAATTTAATTAATTTTATAAACAATTTTAACTCGTGTTAAACGATGAAACGAGACAGGAAGAAAGTGGGACAACAGAGTAACGAAGACAGAATGCAAACTTCAATTGCTTAATAATAAACTTAATAAATATGTTTCAATCATTTTTATATACCAATTTTTGTGTTTACTTTAGCATCTGGAATTTTCCATATATATTTATATCCATTGTATATATTTATAAGTGTATTCTATTTTATGCATTTAAAATCAAGTAGTTTCCTCATTATATGATATTAATAAAATCTTTCAGATATTCTTTGCGATATTTTTCTCCCATCCTCGTCAATCTTTGATACAAGGGATTACAAAAGAAGTGTGTACCTTAATAGAAATCAGAAAATCCTGTCTTGTTCCGCGGAGAAACTGAATTTCCCTTGTTTTTTTATTAATTAAGAGTGCTGGGTAAAAGAGACGACTGCAAATAGAGACTTCCTGAATGTCTCTTTGTGAAGACCTCGTGGATAGTTTCGAGAGAAAGTTTTTTCTCCATCTATGCAAAAAAAAGAATGTAAGAATAAGTTGTTTTTTTTTTATTAATTAAAAGTAACTACACGAGCTTTCCTTTTTTTCCCCTTTTATTTTCACAATTCTCGAAAACACTATCTTTGTTGGAGGGCGGAAAGCGACAGTTTCATTCCTCTTTTGTTTTTTTTTTATTTTTCTTTTTTTTTTCAAAATCTTTTTACCAAAGATAAGTAAGGAAAATATAAAACCAGGTTGTACATTCGTATTTTCTTTTGATATAGACCTCCGTTTGTCGAAACCGATATATTTCCCTTCCCTGTATCATCGAAAAGATAAAATCGAAGAATCCTGTATATTTCAGTCAAACGATCGTTCCTGAAAAATTGTATAAATTGTACAGTTTCATTTATATGTATATATATATATATATTTTTTTCCCGCGGATTTTGTTCCGCGAATCAACGAATGAATTTTTTCGGTCAACCGTTTCCCACGCTTCTCTCAACTAGCGCAATTTTTCTTCATTTTTTTTTTTTAATCTCCGTTTTATATTTTTTTTATCCC